ATTACCTGGTGGTCATAAATAAATGGGTGTGAAAGGACACTGTGACCACAGCTCAGTGTGTGCAAGAAGATATGCCTGCAGGCACCGCGACACGCATCTGTCTCGGACCTTGGCCAAATGCTGTGTTGGGATTTCTTTACAAATAAGACTCTGTAAGACTCCTACTTAGCAGAAATAATGGAAACTTGCTTTCTGTGAACAGAAACATCTCTGCCCTTAATGGAGCAAAGAATTTCCCAGTAGGAACCCAGCGTGCCTTGTCCCACTCAGGTGAGAATGCAACACATCCTGCCAAAACACACGGACAAGGCAAGGCCAGTTGGAGAACCCAGTTTTTAGGACATCTAGAAAATCAGCAGCTCCTTTGGAAATAAAACAGGAATCTCGCATCCCTTCCCACCCACAGTGCTCAGAGCAGGGTGAGCCAGAGCCACCCTGCCAGCCCTCTGCTCTCTCTACTGACAGGGAAACCTGTGATTTCATGACTGTTCCTGCCAGTTGTAGCTGCGTTGGTCTCTGGCCAGGTAGGCACCTCTGGGAGTACCAGAGAAAGAGGATGGGGAACCCCCATGGCAGGGAAGGGTCAGGTACCGCAAGTCCTCAGTGTGCTCTCGTGACACTGATGAGTGAGACCACACCATGATATGGACCAACAGAGCTTGCTGTAAAGACTAGGAACATCACTAAGGATAAAAGAAACATCTCCTATCAGGCTTACTCATCAGGGAAGATCACTGCTTTCTCTGGAGAGAAAGCACCTAGGGGGGGTGCGCAAGACTACTGGGGTACAGGGAGAAAGTATTTTTCGTTCCATTAATAAAGCAAAATAAAATCATATTTGAAAAGTAGTGTTTATTTAATCTTTATCTCATCCTTTTAAAATTTCTATTATTGTGTACATGGATATAATTTACAAATAAATATAGATATATTGGGGGTGCACACTCAAACACTTTTCACTAATAAGGTTGTGCAATCTGAAAATTTTGGAGAGCACTGCTCTACAGCTCCACATCTGAGAAAAAATGAGTCTCAAGGAGTGAAGCTTCACTCACAGGAAAGGAAGATTTAGGGATGAAATGGGGAGTCACTTATGCAGACAGGACATATCCAGACCCTGGGACCAGGTGGGATGCAGCCCAGGGTGCCAAGGATCTCACTTGGGCTCTCCATGACTCTGGAGCCTCTTGCTTTGACCCCACAGAAACCATCGATGGGGCTGAAGCTGGCAGGGAATGTCTCGTCCCCTTCTCCCTGTCCTCTCGTGGAGGACCCCACGGGGATCGCTCTCTTTCAGACCTCAGCAGGAACGTACAGTTCAGCTGTAGGAGGGAGAACCCAGCTAATGATGTTATCTTGGCACCACCCATCCCACAGACGGGTAAAGAGGAGGGTTTGCTCTGCTGCCCTTGAGGATCCAGGCACAAGGATAAAGCTCAGAGGTGCCTGTGAAGATCAGTTTTCTTGCAGTTGTGCTGAAGATGAAGGTCATTTTCTTGTTCCTGGAGCTGACACTTCCATTGGTACCTCAGGCCCAGGCAAAAATCCTTCTGAAAGAACATTTTGGTGGAGAAAAGGTAACACCGCTGGAGGGCATTCCCGTGGTGGAGGATGGGGAAAATGCCTTGCTTGGACACAGTCTCCCTGAGGGAGCAGAGCTCAGACAAAACCCACCTGCACGGTTTTGCAAGGAGCCCGGTTTCTGCTGTAAGTCAAAGTCCCTCAGGCCTCCTGGCATCGCACAGTGTGACCTTTGGTGCTTGAACACTTTAGTCAGGGAGTCAGCGGGCCAGTAAGGGTCACAGATCTGGATTTGGCCAAGTGGATCTTGGCTAGCTCTTTACGGCAGACCGTGGCTCTGCCTGGCAGATGAGATGTTTGTCCACCCACCAGCAGCCTGGGCAGAGGAGGAAGTGGGAGGTTCCTGCTCTGAATCTCTCCTTGCTTTCTGTATTAATCAGTGCAAAGCCATTCACTCTATCTCACTGGGAAGTGGGGTACCATGCCCACAGCTTCTCACTCCAGCTGGATTGAAGACGTCAAGAAAAATGGGAAGATGTCTCTGAGCACTATATTACACTGTGATGGTGAAATAATCATCAAAACTTTAATTCCAAGGTAAGTGTCAGTGCAAATCTTCTCATTCAGTATGGCTTTCATGCAGGGCTCCTCTCTTTCTTGTTCTTCGCCTCAGTTAGTTCTTGTGTTCTTCATAAAACTCAGTAAGGAAAAACTACACGGGTCCCTGGGGGATGGCTGCTTCCCATCCTGGTAACACACGTGTGCTGATGGCACACACGGAGCAGAGCTCTCAAGAGCTGGTCTCTTGCCTCCAAGCTGGAGTGGTGATCCACCAGCTGTAGAAAAATATGGTAGACATGGAAACACCTTCCATGTGGCTGGAGGCTTCAGGAGGTGAGGCCAGCGGGGCAGCTGTGCCAGAGCTCTGTGCCCAGGCAGGAGATGTCCAACAGCTGCTCCTGCTGCTGGTTTGGACTTGAGGTACAGCCCAGTATGGCAAAATGGAGCAAGGGACTGTGGCACAAACCTTCTGGCCTATGGGGGAGTTTTGCAGGTGGAGTCAGAAAAATAATTCATCCCTGGGTATTTGTAAAGCACCTTCAAGTGGGCAACATCAGGGACTGGAGAAGCATCACTAAATCACAGAAATTATGCAGAAACACCTTTGTATTTAATCTACCTTTACCAGTGCAGGACCATCTTCAATCCCCAGTCTGGGAGTGTGTCTGAGAAGAGAGGCCAAAATCAACCGTGCTTCTTCTCAGTGGAGACAACTGGTGTGGTTTCACATGCTTTGAAGACTTGATGAGAAAATGAGTTTCTTTTGTTTAGCACTGGCTAGAGAATGAGGATGCCCCTGCTCTTACCTCTGCATTCAGCACAATTAACTGAGTGATGATCCTGTTCTTCCTAGAAAGGTGACAAGTCTTGGTCAGAAGATGATACAAGATGAAAATCTTAGCATTCCCTTGAAAGCTTGTTCCCAGCCACCCCTGACATTGCTACTTATACCTTGTTTCTAATCGGAATTGCCTGAGCTCAAGCCCCAGCTGCAGCTTCACTCCTCCCCGAGAAGTTGCTTGGGCTAGAGCAACCAAATGACCTCTTGAGCTGCTTCTTGAGGAGGCCCACTGGGAAAGCTGAGAGCTCTGCCATCACTGAAAATACCATCAACTGGAGTCCAATAGTCTTTATTTGCTCCCCAGACCTGCAGGGTCTCTGCACAGACCCATTGCAGATTCCCAGCCATTGACCACCGGTGGCTTTTGGTTGCTCCTGGCTCCAGTGCCACCTTTCTGCAGGGCAAAAAGCAGCAGGTTACTGGCCCAGGGGTGGGCACTTCCCTCAGTTCTCCCAGCATCAAGTGCACTGGCTGGTCCCAGAGGTGCATCTTAAAAATGAGAAGCAATTAATGCTTACAGAGCTCCAGCAAATTAGAGAGCAAAGGAAATGCAGGGTCTGTCTTTTGGAACTAAAATCTCAGGCTTGCCCAGGCAGCTGGCAGGAGCAAAAATCCAAGGAAATTAGGGAAGAAAGAAAATTTGAAGAGGTATCTATTCTGCTGGAGGCAGATGACAAGGCTGCAGAGCGTTGTCCCCACAGCTGGCTCCATGCCACGCTGTCACCTGTCTCTGCCTGCACCTTCCTGCATAGCCTTGGTGACAGCAAGAGCCATGGGCAGGCAGCAGCCCCTGCCAAAGCCCAGCCTGGCATCTCTGCCATGCCGCACCCTGGCCACTCATGCTTGACAAAGCTTGGAAAGCCACGGAGCCGGCTGACAGCCTGCCAGGGCACCGCTGATGCTCTAACAGGGCTCCTGCCGCGAGCGCCGTTGGCTGGGGCCGAGCCCAGGCACGTGGCAGGCACCAGCCATGGGAATCCCTCTGCCCAGAATTAGGGACTGAAATGGCAGCACATGGTGGCCAGCAGGAGCCCGGACAGCAGGTCCCTTCGAGCATCGCATCCTCTGTTGCTCATGCCAAGGGCTCAGGTCTTGCCCAGAGCATGGGGCTGGAGATCGGATGCCTGGAGTTTGCAAAGCTGCCAGTCTCAGCATCCTCTCCCTCTGCGAGGGAAACCCTTGTGCAGCCCCGAGCTGCCCTGCAGCGCACAGGAGTGCTGGGGACGATAACCTGCGATCCCTGCCAGGCATGGCAGTCAGTGTGACTGGGGTGTCTGGGGGGTATTTCCGGGGCTGGAGGCTGCAGAGACACGTCTCCACTGAGCGCTTGCTGTCCCGCACGCCAGCTGGGATGTTTGTTCTCTGAGGAAGGTGGGAAAACAAACCCTACAGATGTGGGACTGATCCAGCATATGTGAAGAGGGTTTGGAAGGGAGCTCATGCCATAGGGATGCGGGGATGTGGCTGTGACCGGGAAGGCAGGGGGTGTTTTGGCCATACACAGCTCTATCCAAGGCTGGGGCTGCAGCTGAGGTCTGACAAACTCAGTGCTCACAGTCCGGTGCTGCAGCTGCCTGGCAGGCAGGGACACGGCACCTCCTGCCATCGGCCCAGGCATTGCCCCAGCAGCAACCTGACCCACACGTGGGATTTCAGAGAATCACGGAATTGCCTGGGTTGGAAGGGACCTTTCAGATCTTCTAGTCCAACCATCAAACCTGGGTCGAAAGAACGGGAATCTTCCACGATACCACTACGCCCCTGGTGCATTTCCCAGCCCCTCGTCCCCGGCTCGTGCCACTCCCGAGGGACTGGAGCAGCACACGGGTCCCAGCCCCCTTCCCTGCCCTCTGCTCCCGGAGCTGGGCAGGAACAGCATCTCTGCTGCCCCGCGCGCGGGGGCCTTCCTGCTGCTGAGATCCCACGTCACCCGGTACCGGGGGCCGCGGGACCGGGATTGCTACAGAAAATGCTTGAAGGACCTTAAAGTAATTTTTAAACAGATCTATTTTATATTTCCTCCCGTACGCCTCTCCGCAGCGGTACCGCCGCAGAACGGGAGGGG